TTCCCTTGCAATTCTATGATTCTGAACTATTACAAAGGAAAAGATTTATTTATTTATTTTTTAACATGGAAGTGCTCTGGTCTAAAACATTCTGCCAAGTCTCCTCCTGTTGAGCTCAGGGCGGTCTCCCCTAAGTGTTTATAGTTTCACCAACTGACAAGAAAATGAGCCAATTGGAAAACGTGTCCTCTACTTACACCCATTTGCCTGACTTCTTATGTGGCCTTTCGGGAGCCTCCCTGGTCTACCTCAGTTGGCTGTTTTTCATGACAGAGGAGACACAGAAGGGACACCTGTCTCCAAGATTGGTACCTTATTCCAGAGACTCTTCCAACTTACCAGTCTGGATATTGATTCTTTGTTAGTCAGCTCAGATGCCTTGAAGGAGCTTCCTTCAAACATCTATGAAGGCCGAGGTGGGGGGAAAGAAACCCCTGTCTTCTCCATTCTACTACTTGTCCATCACACTTGTCTTGTCAACAGTGACAAATGATGTGACGCTGTGCTGTGCCCGACAGACCGGTGATCCCCCCACGCCGTGACCACCAAGCTACTACTTCACTGTAGAGGAAGAGGCAAGCGCTCCACACTGAGGTTGGAGACAGAGTGGAAGATGCTGGCTTGAAGCACAGATATTTTTAAAGTTCAGAATAACTTCCCTAAGTGACACATTTTTCAGAGTCAGTCATACAGACATCTTTTGTTTCACTGCCATCTGTAGAGGAAACACAATGTTGATAGACTGATCCATGACAAATAGAGACAGAATAGATGACATAAGATAGATGCTAGATAGATAGATAGATAGATAGATAGATAGATAGATAGATAGATACATAGATACATAGATAGATACATAGATACATAGATAGATGATATACGATAGATAGATAGATAGATAGATAGATAGATAGATAGATAGATAATTGGTAGATAGATAGATGATAGACAGACAATAGATAGATAGATTGATAGATAAATAAATGATAGGTAGGTAGATAGATGATAGATAGATAGATAGATAGATAGATAGATAGATAGATAGATAGATAGATAGATGATAGGTAGGTAGATAGATAGATGATAGATAGAGATGATAGGTAGATAGAGATAGACGATAGATATAGATAGATAAATGATTGATAGATAATAGATAGATGATAGATTGATGATAGATATAGATAGACAGATAGACAGATAGATGATAGATAGATAGATAGATGACATAAGATAGATAGATAGATAGATAGATAGATAGATAGATAGATAGATAGATAGAGATAGACAGACAAATAGATGATCGATTAAATAAAGAAGGCAGGTTGAAATGCACAAAGGAAGTTGAGGACGGAAGAGAAGGGAGAAGGGAAGGAGGGAGAAAAGAAAGGGAAAAAGAAGAAAAAGATTTTCTAAGGAGAAAAAAATGATTTTTTTTTTTACTCTTGGAAACTTAAAATGCAAATAAGCATAAAAACGCATTTCAGCAATTTTGCAATAAAGATCTTGTTTGCTTATTTGCTAAGAATGTCTCTGAGTGTATATGCCCAGGCCCGGGACAGGCCCAGTGCGGGCCACCACAGCAGGTGTGCATTCATGAGCACGGTAGCCATGCTGTAGGGTAAGTCAGCAGTCTATGGCTATCTCCCTCCCCCTCCTGCTCTTCTTCTGTTCTTTCTGCCCTCTCTTCTCCGACCTTCTCTAAGCCTTAGAGGGAGTGATACAGATGTCCGATCGAGGGCTGAGTCACGAAACTAAATCCAAGCAAAACAGTGTGAAAGTGAGAGACCCGAGGAGAAGGGGAGGTTGACAAGGGGTGTGGGGAGGATGGGTGTGTGATCAGAATGCATTATATGCATGTATGAAATTGCCCAAGAGTACGTTTAATAAAAATAGTTTTAAAGGAATATGTTTGATCTACTGCAATTTCCCATCGGTAATCCACCCACATACCCGTCTATACATACCTGCACATTGCCAGTTATTTATCTGACCCCGAGTGAATGTAGATGAATGAGCCCCATAGAAAAGCTGGCAGTCAAAACGCTCCCAACACAAAGGTGAGCAGAAATAAGATGATGGAATACACTGGTCTGTGGACTTGAGGCTAAGGCAATATGAATAGGAATTATAAAATATAACTAAGCCATTGTGGCTAGGAATAATTGAAGCCAGGATGAAATTAACATTTAAAAAAGCTATTTTTCTTCTAAAAACATTTTGGGGAGCTGAAGAGAGTGTTCCCTGCTCTTCTAGGAGACCTGAGTTCAGTTTCCATCACCCATGTCAGGCAGCTAAGAATCACCTACAACTACAAGACCAGGGATGCTGATGTCTTTTTCTGGATATCACAGGTACATGCACACAGGTACACACACACACACACACACACACACACACACACACACACACACACACACACACACATCTTGAAAAACAGTCCTAAGTTTTTTTGTGTGTGTATTTGAATGTTCATATGTATGCATGTAGGTGTGCCACATGACAACATGTGTATTGAGATCAGAAAGCCATCTTCAGGAGTCCATTCTCTCCTAATGTATGGGTCTCGGGAATCAAACTCAGGTCATTAGGCTCAGTGGCCAAGGCCATAACCCGCTGAGCCATCTCTAGGCCCAGATCACATTTTAATAGCATGACAATAATCACAAAACTGTCTTCAGGCAGTATAATGAAGTAAAAGGAATCCAAGGTGATCGAAAATAATGTGTGGAATTTTTGCAATAAAGAGAAACAAGGAAAACCTGAAGGGTTGTGACCAAGAAGTCTGATGGAGCCTTGAGGCTAAAGAATCCACCTACATCCTCAATCCTTTTATTAAGCTGAGATTTACCTCGGATACGGGTTGTTCACCCACTTTGGGGGCAGTAGATCCAGCCCCAGATTCCTAGACATGACCAAGAAGGAAACAACGTATTCATTTTTGACCCTTGGATCCAAACTAACTTTGTCTTATTTTTTTTCTTACCTATCAGATTGCAGTTCATTTTCACACCTCACAGGACACTCCCAGTGATCCTTTCAAGATGCATCAAAACCGCCATCCGGCCTGTCCTGAGTGCATTCGGATGCCTTGATTTTTCTTACTATTACTGCTTGGGGCCATGTGCATATATATTCACCACACACTGTCCCACAGGTTGCAAGATGAGCTGTTTGCTTGACAGGAAAGGTCTGGAGCCAAAAAATGGGACTATCAGTAAATCCAAGTATTCCCATAGTAGGGATAAGATTTTACAGTTAAATAAGTTAGGAAAGTCAGGTGACTGACTCCTTTTTATTATTCAGTTTCTCAATTTCATAGCGGCAAACGGAGTAGGAGGCAATTATATTCCACTTGGATTTTCTTTATGGAGGGGGCGGAGATCTCCCCCACTCTAAAACACGTAAAAACAAGTTAAAACCATACCATTTCCTTTGGAAAGAAAAGACTTTTATGAACTGTGAGCATTCTCTCAAAGGAGCAAGAAACATGCTTTCAATCTTCTTATGAGGTTCCCAGACTTCCTGCATGCATCCAGATCACTGGATCCTGCTGAAATACACACATGGTGCCCTCTCCTTGACCACAGCAGCTGCCAGTTCTAAAGTACAGGGAACAATGCATTGGCTCATCCCTATCTCATGCCTAAAGACTGGAGTGTCTCTATTGTGGCTGTTTATATAGACAAACTTAAAACATGCTCAATAAAATGATTTGTCCTCCAAAGTCATCACCTTGGGCTCTTCAAATTAATTCAAAAGATAAGATCATTGTTCAAGACATTTTTGGAAGTCTGGGTTGGGTTTTTGCCTTTACAAGAAAATTGGTCTCCATTGTAGGGGTCTAGTGTTTGGGAGTTAGAGGCTGTTTCTTAGCTTAATCATTCGACAGAATATCATTTTTAGTTTGAGAAGATGGACTTCATTCTCCAGGGGCTTGTCACCAAGGAGGGGACTCAAAAGACTGTAAAGGTATCCTTTCCAGCCCCAGGGAATTGGCTCCAGGACCCCCCACAGGTACTCAAACCCTCAACTGTAACAGAAAATGCTTCAGTGTTTGTGTATAACCTATGCGCATCTAAAGATGACATACATTAAACCATATCTAGATTACTTACAATACCTACCGCAACATAAGTTCTGTGAACGTAGTTATGGTTTATTGTTAATGGGAACTGACAAGGAAGAAGTCTCTGCACGTTTAACACAGATGCAATCCTATTTGTGATGTATGCATATGTGTTCACGTGTGTGCAGATATGCTTGTATATGGAGACCTGAAGTTGGCATGAGGTGTCTTTCTCTGTTCTTCTTTGCCATATTTTTCAAGACAGTCTCTCACTTAACCTGGAGTTCAACAATCTGGCTAGACTATTTGCCGGTAAACTCCAGGGATCCTGCCTCTGATGCTCCATTATAGAGGAGCATCATCTATGCACCCAGAGTTTATGTGGGTACTGGAGCTCTAAACTCAGGTCCTTATGTTTGTACAACAGGTACTCTATTGTGTCATCTCCTCAACCCTAGACACAAATTGAAAAGAAACAGCTCTTTGAATACATGGTTGTTTGAATGCTGTTAGGATTGGAAACCCATGGCTAGATCTCGAAGACCACTGAACACACGGGCATCCCTAACTTCTAACTACATGGGCAAACCTCCAGCATTTACCTGCGAGATATTTAACTTGTGTTACAAGCTTGAAATGAGTGGTTTAAAAAGAGAGAGCCACCAAATAACCATGTTACTTTATAACTTCATAGAAAATGGAACCACACACAGCTCTAGCCATTGCTCTCTGTTAAACCCACCCCAAAATGTGATCTTCTCAAAATCCACAGGAAAAGAATTTCGATACAGGAACTCCATTTTTGGTTTTCAATTTAAAAACTGTAATAAAGAATGTGCAACAGAACTCTGTTACAAAATCACATTAATCAAAGAGAAAAACTGACCTCATCTAAAGGATTTTTCTCTCAAGTACCAAAAAAAATAAAATCCACTTACACATATAACCAAATGTTATTTAATATCTTAAAAAGTAACACAATCCAAAATGGATATTTCACACAACACTACATAAACAACATGAACACAATATTACCATATGGAGGGACTTTCAAATATAGACTTACAAAAATCCCTGTCCTTTTTTTTCCTTTTAAGTTATTATACTAAGCATGACAAGGAATCATCATTTACAATATGGTACACGGACACGATAAAAACCATGTTACAAATGTGCTGTTAGAAATCAGTAACATTAGGGAAGACGTTTCATGAACTGCAGTTATTTCATATGAAATACTATACAATATAAACAGAACATCCATCTTGGATGACCTTTACAGCAACCAGAGACCAAGTCATTTAAAGGTTTGTTTTTTTTTTTTTCAGTGCAAAAACATTTTATTCAAGGCAGTCTTGGCTGCAAAACTCCTTCCTAACATACAGTGATTCCCGCTTGCACTTCTTAGTTCATTGACCCCTAATGTAATAGTCACATTAAGTCACTCAGAGAAAGACACCTGCGGAATCGCGATCCCTCGAAACGTGGATGCCCAGATTGAATTCTTTTGCAGATAGTGGTACTGATGTCCCTGCTCTAAGCACTTTGAATCTGTAGCTGTTGATGCTTCCATGAAGGTGACCTTAGGGCAGTTTTACTCCTAACTGGCACACGTGCACAATACTGCACAGTATTCTGTCCTTCCAATGTGGAAACAGTGGTGGTGTAGGTATCTAGGTGGGGGAGGGCAAGGAGGCAGAGAGGGTGACCCTCAGAGGGGAGGAAGAGTGTTCTATGTGATGCATGTCCTGGAGCTGTAGAGGACCGGGATTGGAGGAGAGCTCGGGTCTCAGATTTGATACCTCTTTTAGGCGAGAGCAAGAGAGTGGAGGTACCAAGATCAGCCTTGGGACAGGGAGGTAGGCGGCTGTCCGAGGTCCAGCCAAGCTCTAACCTGCCATTTAGGGCCTTTCTAGAGCCATTGATGCCTCACTAGGACACACCCTTTTCCTCGTTCACAGGAGGGCGCGTTCACAGGCGAAGCTAACAAGGAGCAAAGGCCTCTTACTGTCCGAATACAATCACAAGAAGGCTTAGCTCCCCTCGAGCTTTATCGAAGCTTAAATTCTGCAAGTCATCAACTGTTAAGTCAATGAACAGCAGTAAGGACACAGGAGTGTGTGTCAGAGAAAGCTATCGCGGGGGAGCCCTTCTGCGTTGCTGATGCAAGGCAAGGGAAGGGGACAGATGCCAATCAGAGAGAAGCCAGTGCCTTTTACAAACACATGAGATCTAATAACGAAATGTCTCATATGTATCATTTATGAAATGCATCCTAGAGAAAATTCCATGGGAAAATATCACTTGTATCATTAATACTATAACACCTTCTTAGAGAGATGCAGTGACAGCTGGTTTGTTTATATTTCTTGGCAAAGCTCAGATAAGAGCAACCCCTTCCCTACTATATTTAACTAACCCGAAGAAAAACAATGCCTCCCATGGCTTTTTGCATTCATTTTTCTTGTTTCTAGCTTCCCCAAGCCTTAAACACGGACCCAGGAGTCCCTCGCTCACAGGACATTATTGGATGGCTTTGACAATGGGTGGGATGTTACTGGGTGGGTAAGGAAGATTCAGTCACTTCTGCTTGGGTCCACTGTGGTCTGACAGTGCTGGTTGGATCTGGGACTGGCCTGTGGGAATGGAGAAAGCAGGTATCAAAGACCTTCTGTCTCTTAATTTGAGAAACACTTGGAACTGAACCAGCTTCCCAGATCTTAGGAAGCAGGGCTTGATATACTGTAGCAAATGTTACTCAGCTGAGCACTGTGAAGAGTGCCTAGAAAGATTTTAAAGTAAAACAAAACAAAACAAAAAAAACTGTTTCAGCACCTTCCACTGCCTGGAGCAGCCAATGTTCCTGATGATGGGGTTTACAAGAATCACAGAAAACCAATAAGAAACTGTAAACAGGGGTGGATGTCTGGATTGGCCTTGAACGGCAATGGCCTTGGTATGGATTTGCTCATCTCCCACTTCATAACCAATACCAGCAATGTGTGCTGAGGTGTTGAGATTCCAAACAGCCATAACTCTTTGAATGAAAATGGACAAGGTGTCAAGCTGAACTTGTCTTTATTAGCACACATCAGAAAAATAGCATTGTAGTGATTTCTCATGATGGCCTATCAAACAGATAGAAAATTGGTCATTGAGAGCTGCCACTGTGTTTCTGGGTGATCTTGAATCACTCCGTTTGTTTGCCCCTGTCAAGCATGGGCATTGCACACAGGACCTGCTCTGGAATTGTACGATCTAATGCTTTGGAAGCACTTTGAGATCCCCGGTTGAGCTGCATAACATTACCCGTTGTTGGGTGTTAGTGTAAGCTCAGAATGCTACCCCTTCCAAATGGTAAGACGATCGCTCTGGTTTTGTGAGAATTATGCCTTTCATTCAAGTTACAAACTCGATCTTCAAGTACACTTTGTGGTGACCAGTGGTAAATTCTGGATGGAACTTTACAAAGCTGTGTCAACCTAAAGAAGAAATTATGCTTTCCTATGGACCACCGTTCTTGTCTTGTGGTGGCCACAATAGAACTTAAATGTGCATCTTAACAATATTGATTGAGTTTTGAAAAGGAGACATGTAGGAACAGCTGGTGTTCAAATCACTGCTCCTTCAGATTCCCTTTTGATTTATATTTCCTGAATTGGCTTCTTCAACACCAAAGACACAGGCATTTATTATCTCCTTCCAGCTCTTCTATTTGTCTTCCCTATTGAGTGCACATACGACCCCTTTCACATACTCATTAAGGTCTCCTGAGACGTGCACAATGTATCAAATGGTATACACATTACTTAACAGACATCTCAGAATGCATGGCACAGCTCTTTTAATAAAAAGGAAGTTTGGGCTCCATAGGGTAGCATATGATAAAGGCAGGGAGGCCCAAAGTGCTTCCAGTTGGCAGTCCGAATTTCTCACATGTATTTTGTTACTGAAAAAAAAAAAAAAAACCCTAGCAACCCAATCCAATTCTTATAGGAATTAATAATGTCCCAAATGTTTACCAAGTGGCTCTTTGCCAAAAAGGACCTTTCTTTCTTTCTTTCTTTCTTTTTTTCTTGTAGCAGGAATGGAAGAGTGGGGAAGACAATAATTTTAAAGCGTTCATTCACTTGTAACAAATCAAATGAACTTTCATGGGGGAGAAAGGAGAGAGAAAGAAGACAACAGGTTTACAATTGAAAGCCAAAGAATGTTATGAATGAAAAACTGGGGCAGGGAGAAAGTCATGAGTCCAATGGACAAGTCACCGACACACACGGAATGCCATGGCCTACTGCTGAAGCATGTTTTCAACATTGCTTTTCCGAAGAACACACTTGAACACACTGCTGCCATTTCATCAAATTCATGGAGGTAGTTATATGTAAAAATAAAAATTACCATAAAATAATACGCTGTATCCTAATAATACATAGATGTGTGCAAAATGCCGACAGATGTGTTGACCCTTTAGAGTTGAATGCCTTGCGGAGATTCAACCAGATTCAGTTTTGTAAACCTTTCCATTGAGAAACACTAAGACTAGACATGCAGTCACGTAACACAAAGCTGTGGTTCCAGTGGAGAAGAGTACTGGCAAAGTCTGGGTAGGGCCTCAAGGCTGTGGGCATCAGGAGTCTCATCATCTTGATGAGACCATCTTAGACACATTGAACTTGTCATACCTATCATGTGCTCCCCACCACCAATATCACTCCGTTCAAGAATCCAGATTAGATCCAGACAAGAGTGTTTCTCCACAGACTATCTGTTTATGTGGTATATCATCCTTGAAGTCCATCATTCTGTGCTAATGGCTGCTGGTCTAAGGGAGATTCTTTTGTTTGGTTCTTTCTTAATCATGTACCCCATAGTGATTAGGCAAATAGCGTACACATTTTATTTGAATAAGGTCTTCTGTAAACCTATTTCTTGTGAACTATCAAAAATGCACGTTTCAAAGCTTCTCTTAAACATAATTATGTCCTTTCCTGCTCACACAGCACTAGGTTCCTTCAACGGCTATGTTCAAAGGGTCTATCAGAGACTAATGTATTGTTTTAATGGTCCTATTATTAATGAACTGAGTATGCCAAAAATTTGAGAGCAGGTTTTTAGAAAAAAATTAGACAGACCAGATCCAGGAATCGTATGGTATACAGCTGCTTGAGCAAACAGACTATGAAAATACCAGATATGAGGCTGCTCTTTCTGGACATAGTTAAGTAATGAGACAATATGTTTTTGAGTAACTGAGGCATGCCTGGGAGGAAATAATGTATAAGATTCAAACCCATTTGGCTTAAGCATTTCAATGATGTAGCAGCACACTGAGAACTGTGCTTAAGTGTCACTACAAGAAGCACACAAAAGTCATTTACTATAGGAAAGTTGAGGAGCCCAGTTGGACCCAATGTAACTTCCAAAGGGGCGAAATGTGAGAGCATACACATTTCCAGCCACATCATATGACTGTGTTTCCTGAAATGCATTCCTAGTGATTAACCCTAACACAGAAAAAGAAAATCCCTGGCAAATTTATGCTCATCACTGAAATCTTGGGTGAAAATATTTTATATTGATTTTAAGTTATTTATGAATTCACTTATGATCCATGACTCCGAAAAGCATCTGACACTAAACTGAATATAACTTCATGTCAGACTGTATACTGGGATCAGAGGTAACCTTTGTGCAGATAGTTTTCCAGGGCCTACAGATGTAGGAATCCTATGGTATACATCTTCGTCTGCATATTCTGCTTTTGAAATGTGTCTTTCCTGTCTGACTGAAGTGTGTTGGTCAGTGGTTCCCCCTGCTGTGGAGCCTTTTGATACTGAGCGTGACTTTGCAAACCAAAGTAGAGTGTGAAGAAATCATTTTAAAAGACGCTGAGTGAGTGACCACCCAATCCACCTAAAACACGCCTCCCAAAATTGTTACAAAGTATCTGTAAACATTACTCTGGCATAGTTCATGTATGCATAATTGTCATTCTGATAAATTTTAGGGGAGTACAAATTAAGGATATACCATGCCAGCAGAATGAGGACACTCTGCTGTTTATTATATGGGCCCATGTACATTTCTAATCAAAAATTACTTTAAAGGTTTTCTCTATAATATCTTCCCAGGAATAAAAGGCCTGACCTTCAACTCTCCCTAAATTTGCTCTTTCCTACAACCACTAAAAATTATCTCCCACAGCCTAATTTAGGCATTCTATTTAAAACTACATAAAATAGATTTATGTCCCTTCCATTAGAAAGAATAACACCCTCAGGCCACATTCTTCATTTGTATCATAAAGAACATTTTGCTTCCAAACAAACTAATCACTGCATCTATTATAGTAAGATAGCTCGACCTAAGTGTCACAGGGAGGGAGTATCTTTCTTCAATATCCGATTCATCCCTCCCCAAAGTCCACACAACCTTCTCCATCACTCAGTGCTGCACCCCAGCGAGACCGGATTTCCCTTCCTTTGTCCACTTCAAAGGCCAATATTCCTGTTTGTGATTATGGAAGGCTAAACAACTCAAGACAAGCATGGAGTGCACCGGAAAACAGAATCCTGAAAACAAACACTCTAAGGACTCCCATCGGAACCCCCTCTGACACACTCCCATAGGCTCCTGCAGGAGCGTCATGAAGACTCACAGTGGAAAATGACTGGTTTTGAAAGGGCTCACACACAAAAGGCTGGGGTCCCTTCTGCTCAGTTTGGCATTGACTTCTCTCACGATGGACACCCTTACCTTTACATTTTGTTGTGACTTGGCTTTTTTTTTTGAGGGGGGGGAGCATTGTCAAGGATTCGTTCCCTGGCCCCATTCCCCCTAGGCTGGGAGCAACGCACATCTGTGGCATTTCAAAATGGAATTGGCAACTGCATGACATTGAAAAATGCATGTTCCACTTACAGTGTTTAGACTTGCCTATGTGTGCTCAGATATAGTTAGTGAAGCAGAAGTATACATATCTCCCCTACTGCTATTCGGTTGCTACAGAGCCGTAAATGTGAAAAGCAATACTCTGAAATAAAGATTTTTGTTTTTGTTTTTGCCCTAGCCTACTTTAGCGGCACAGCTCAAGTGACCCCCAAGCTGTGCTTGAGATGTTTGTCTTTGCAGAGATGTAAACATCAGTCCCAATGGTCGTAAACGTTGCTGTATCGAACGAGACAGAAGGTCCGAGGCAGGAGGACAATCATACACTAGTAACAGAAGCTTGCAAGCAGTTGGAAGGTTTCTGTAATTTCTCAGCTTCGTTGGTCGGGGGATCCGTACTGGCACGGAAGTTGAAGGTTGGACCAGCTCCGCCATGGGCCGGACTCAAAGCGGGATTCTGACGGCGGTTGCTTTCAACAATGCTTGATGTGTTGGAAGCCAGGCTCTCCCGAGTGCTAAAAGAGGAAAAAAGGTTGGTTTTGGTTTTGCTTTGAACATAAACAATGATATATTGAGCCCAGGAGGAAGAGCAAATGACGGAGCTAATGGATTTCCTCTGTTGGCTCACGAGGTTGTATGGTACGCATCTCCACGGATAATCTGCATGGGCTCTTCCAGCCCGGGCTCTGGGAAGCACATGAGACATGAACTGCAGCTTGCCCAGTCAAGGGTTTCTGACTACCCAATGTATGGCTTCCCCTCCTCTTCCCTTTCCAGAAAATGGCTTCAAAGTGTAATGTGACAGATGACCATCACACTGGCTTTAACAATGAGTACTCATACCTGTGTGATGGTTTCTCCAAAGGTCGAGAATTCACAGACATCATGGTTCTCGAATAAACTCCAGAACTGTACTGAAAGATTCCATTCTTTCTGTTGCTTTTGATTAGATGTTAATGGGGCGGTGGATGGACATCAAACATGCCACTAGCTGACTTCACCACACGAATGGGAATAAAATTATTTGTAAATACTTTATACCTCTGTCTCTATTTGAACACTTCAGTTAAAACACAATATATGGTCAGATAAAGAAGACCGCCCCTCCCCCACTTATCTGTGAAGCTGCAATTCATTCCTGTCTCCCCGTGGTGGAAATATTTTCATTTCTTAAGGATGAGGTGACTTTAAAACTTCATTACTTCTGTTTACGTTTTCCAAGTCGGAAAGACTTGAATCTATTTCACCGCTAAAGGAGATTTTTAAAACATCCGTGTTTGAAAAGTGCAGGACAGCAGTAGAAATAAGATCCCTCAGCAGAGCGAGAGGGAGGGAAAAGGCTCCCCATTCCAAGTCCCCAAAGTGACTCTCAGAAATCGACCCACTTACATAGAGCAGAGAAACCAGAATCATTCTCAGAACACCTACCCCACTGGGTAGATTCAAAGGTCAGTTGGTCTCGATACCGAGCCTAAGCCAAACCTAGCTATCACGTCGACAACCACGACCAAGACGCCATCTCCTCCCTTAGCAGCCAATTCCAACAGGGTACTTAACTCTGCTCCCTAAGCAACTCGAGTCTTCATGATCAGGAAACCAAGAATTAAAGGTTTAAAAGGCAGTATATTCATTGACTATCAAACAAACAAACAAATAAGCAACAATAACAAAAACCCCCAGTCCTCTTTCTGATTATAGAGGATTAATGCACTTAAAGGGGTAACCCAAGTTTTCCCACCAAGCTTCTGGTTAGATGGGCACATCTAAAGAATACTCCAAAATGCCACTAAGGATAGAAAACACCCGACTTACCTACTTACCTGCCTGACCCTCTTTCCCCAGAAAACCCATCAGTTTTCCAGAGCCGTCACTGAGGTGTGGGGTCATTGGAGGATGAAGGGCAAAGAACATGATGAATCCCAAAGATTGTATGGCACATTCCATTCATTGCACTTCCAATCATGGCAGTAACTTTTAAAAAAATGATGTGTGTGTGGGTGGGGGGAGTTGGAGGGAGGCAGATGCTATGTGTGCAAACGTCAGAGGACATTTTGTGGGAGTCATTTCTGGTCTTCCCTAGTACGATCCTGAGGATCAACCTGAGATGTCAGGGTTGGTGGCAAGTGTCTTATACACTGAGCTATCTGGCACAGGATAATAACTTTTAACAGCAGCTAACTTCCTCATGAATATGGTGGAGAGAATTGTGCTGTGATTTACCTACTTACAGAGTGACTGTGAAAAAGAAATAAACACTGATGTATCGGCACATTAAAGAGTTAGGACAGCGTTATTTCTGTTACACACCTATCATAGACTCAGTTGAAAACTACTGTAGATCAGCTTGGGAATCTAACTATCGCCAATGACATTTTTCTATGGGAAAATGAATTGTAAGGCCCAAAGAATCTATTTTTAAAATAGCTGTTGAGGAATCAGCTTAACAGTTATTGAGTGCCTGCTGCATTCCAGATAGTGTACTTGAACTAGAAACATAAAGCACTCTAACATGACCCATTAGTTAAGAGATGTCTTTGGAATACACCTTTGGCCTCCTTTGAGCTATGTCTAATGCATTCATAGGGATAAATATGCACAGTATTCCAGTTTCTGCAAAGAATATATTTCATTCCGGTTGTAATCATGAGCAGAGTTTCTGACAGTCATACGGGGGGATCAGGATATACTAATAACAGAGATGGCTTTTTAGGAGTAAAATACTTCTCATATTTAATTTTGAAAAGAAAGCAAATGGAACACAGCCTTTGAAATGAGTGACTTAGGCAGGAGTAGCGGTGGCGCACACCTTTAATCCCAGCACTCAGGAGACAGAGGCGGGAGGATCTCTGTGAGTTCGAGGCCAGCCTGGTCTACATAATGAGTCAGAACTATGTAGAGAGACCATGTCTCAAAAACAGCGGGGAGGGGAGCTATTTAGGACTTCCTAGGTGGAGAGATTCACTAAGTGCTTCTGCTCTCCATCTTCTTTCCAGTACGTAGCTTCTTTCCAGAGGAGCACAGGCCCAGGGCAGCACATAGTCTCTCTCAAAGTTGTGTACACGTTTGCTCAGCCAGTTTGGGGTCTTACATTGGAAACAGTGACCTTTTCACTTCAATACTTTTCAGTTTCAATATGACTTCTCACAGCACAGTTCAAGTTTCTATCCTTTGTGGGTTTTTTTTTTTTTTAAATATTCTTTAGTTCCAACAAATGGGACTGAAAACATGGCTAAACAAGATGTCCAGGTAAGCACTAAAACCTTCAAATGTAGAGAAAAATCTTTTGTCTGGGCAGAATCATAATTGCTTAATGAACTGTTTTAAGGGAAGGTTCCCATAAACACCCTACTTAAAATTCGCACTCCTCATAGCAATGGAACATCTGCATGATAGTGTTAGTTCACTGGAATACCACTCAAGTTGAAAACTCTGGAAGTCCGATATTCTCTTTCATTCTCTCTCCTGCACAGAAAGGCAGCTTGGGGAACCTACTAAAGTATACAGAAAGCAAGTCTGCCACCACGCCTCTAACCAAAGGATCTTTATCAAACAGTAAAATTGGGAATTCTTGAATGGGTTTCCTGCCTGAAAATTTTGGGAGATCTACATGTTTCTGAAAGGGAGATTCAATCAAATATTAATAGACAGACCTATGGCTGGTGGGAAAAGGCTCTCTCTCTTTAGAATGAACATTTGCTTCTGCATTGACAAGGCATTTAACTTTTAAGTACCTTATTTAAAAATGAAAATAAACTTCTAGAAGTAACTCTACTTATAAATTCTATGTTACACAGCCCAAGTTTCAAGGTAACATATTCTTTGGAGATAGTGGTTCAGCTATCTCATGGATACTTCTTTTTACCCCTACGCAAACAAAAGTTTTCAATATTATGCAGGACTTCGGGTTAGAACCCACTCACTCCCAACATCTCCTTGACAACAGTCTTGGGAGCTTCACCATTTACTGCTGAAGTCCAGGTGCTAAGGGGGGCAATGGGGAGGGCTTGAAAGTATAATAAGAAAAGCATTAGGCAGAGGAGTCTATGTGATAAGAAATAATGAGCATAAAATACAAGCAAGGAAACCATCTTTTCTATAAGCAATGGCTTTGAACTTTTACCACAGACCTCCAGTTATCTGGTTCTTATTGCTAGGATTTCCAAGAGTATAGAAAAGGAAAAAGTATAGAACAGGAAAATAAATAGATAAGGACAGAGAAATAATTGGAAAATAAAACCTGATTTGGGAGGGAAAAATTTTAGCAAAATAGTTTCTTTAAAAAGACCAGGGCCACTGCTCTCTGGGGTTTCTTGAACATCCTTAATGCCCGCAGAGAGATCCAGGCTCCTAGATTCCCATGCACTTTGCCAGAGTACCAACTCTGATAGATGTCTGTTAGACATTAGAACTTCCATTTATGTTTTAACTTGGGAAAAAAAGGGTTACATAATCAAAACAGCTACAATAATAAGTCAAGAGCTGGTCCTTTAAGAAATAGTAAATGCCTAACTATGGAATAAAATTTGTTATAATCCCCAAGTCTGACTTTGGAATGATGCATCCCCAAGTTACCCAGAAATAGGGTGAAATGATTGCAATGGAATTAACTATAACTCTTAATACATAAATGAAGATCTGAAGTCCCTACGAGGGTACTTATTGTGACTGTAAATACTATGAGATCTTGGGAATCGGAGACAACAAGGAATGTACATCTCAGGATCATTTCTGCATCTTAGAATCACCAATCTGGAGTAGAATTTAGAAGCAAGATTTAGGTTCCAAGTTGCTGTTTAAGGAGAAGAAAGAGTTATGGAGAAAAACAGGAAGTGTGGCGTCCCTGGGTTTGTGCTTGCCACCCCTAAACAACCTTGGTGCGTTGGAGAGGACCATCAGGGTTTATACACTGTGAACTGTCAACACTGCTGAACTATCAAGGCTACAAAATGGCAATGTCCAAACAGACACCGTCAATTCGACAGCTGGGAAAATGAAAGTGTGGGCAACGGTTTTGCTCTCACAGAGTACAGGCACCCCTAACTTTTGTGAAGGGAGCAAGCCTCCATGTCTCCATCCACACACAGGTGGAAGAGGAGGGACATCTGAGCCAGTAGAACAGACCACACACAGCATGGGGTTTACAGTGGTATCAAGCTTTTAGATCCTTTGGAAAGACTGTAAAGCCCATTACTATATTCTCACTAGAGGGGCCATTATCCTGGAACCAATTACTGCCCGCCCCTTTCTTCCCACTGACCATATTCATTGTACTCAGAAAGTTACTTTTTTTTTTTTAAGGACTTAAAAAAATTCCTTTCTCCTGGTTGGCAATACAAATGAGAAGAAAACACTGGGAGTGTTGGTCTTAATCAGGCTAGACTGAGGCAAGGCTTAGGGAAGGAACCAACCCACCAGTCCAGATTGGTGATCTCTACAGCTGCAGAAACATTTTTTTTTTTCAATTCCTGAAAGAGAAGTTAGAAACAGCCTGTTAACAACACAAGTCACGCAACTCACAACCCTCATTCACAATCTGAGACTGAAGTCGGCTATCTGCATAAAGCCCCGGGCCCTGGCAGGCGTATGCGTATACTGAGGGACGTCTCTCCCTACCGTGGGGAGTTGAATCCACTGTCCACTGTGATGCTGCTGCTGTCCATACTGTCCAGGCGGGCTGAATGGGTGGCTCTCTGGTTGCTGCTGCTATCAGTTTCTTTTGGGGTGAGGAGGGTGAGGTTCTTCTCAAACTTCCTCTGCAAGTCCCTCTCCTTCTCTCTCTCAAGAAGCCACTGCATGGTGCCCACATCATCTCTGTTTTTCTCCTCCTCTGTGTTTTTGTTGGCCCCTTCCTCGGAGTCATCATCATCAGAGACATTGTAATAGTCAAAAGAGGCCTCCTGGTTCCCTCCAGTCTCCTGTTGGCGCTGGGACGTAGGCATGGCTTGGGCCACGGACGTCCCAAGGGAAGGTTCCAGTTTGTCGCATCGGCCTGGCAGTGTGTCGACAGGTGACTTCGGGTGAGATTTGAGGAGGGACAAGCTGGATTTGTGGTAGCTGTTTACAGACAAGGTGCTGTGCAGGGGTTTGAACAGTGTGTCCTTGCTGAATATTTCTTTCCTTTTGTCCAGGCTGCTGGGTTCTGCGCTGTGATGTTGGACCAGGCGGCCATTGGCCATCCCCTCCGCCACACCACCAGAGGTAGCAGGGCCCCCACCTGGCCCTTTTGGTGACTCCTCCTTGTGCCCAACAGGCTCCCTGGAAGAATGAGGGGTTTGCCTCTCAGATGGAGACAGCTTTTTTACCCCCTCCACCAGGGTCAACGTGTCATGGTCCTCTTTATTCTTCCCCAAAGGAGACGGTGCTGTGAGCACAGTCTCACTGGAGGTGTTGCACTGGAAATAGTCATCCACAGCTGTTTTTGTCGGGCAGGGGTTGAGTTCCCCGTAGGATGGCATACTCTCGGGGGGTTTGCCTGGCTCCAGAAGGCTACATGTACTAGAAGGCTCCTTGCTGCCACCAACTATTTCTGGAATGCACACCTCTTTATAGCTGACAGGAGAAATGTGAGCCCTTTGATGAGCAATAGTCGGCGCAGGCCTTAAAGTACTGTCGTCAATGTAGGATTGGCTGGGGGTCTGGTCATCTTGGCTGCATCCTTCTGCCAGGTCTTCCGGAGTCCCGAGAGAAGACGCGCCCAGAGGGCCTTTGGAGTTATCCATCGACCTGGATCTCTCCTTGGCCTTGTTGGATCTCTCGTTCCTGGACCTCCGATCCTGGGTATGGCTGTGGCTTCGGTGCACTTTGGAGTGGGAGCTTCCCCTGGACGGTTCGGGAAAGGGCATCTCCGTTCTCCTTTTGGCCAGTTCGCCCGACACATCCCATTCTGGCGTCATGGGGAAATGGGACTCGATCACGTTTGTGTTGCTGTGCATGATGAAGTTGTCTCCTTTGTGTTCGATGATAAAGCAGCCTTCCCTGGGGGCCCTGGTTAGAGGGTCGCAGAACTCATACTCCCTCTCCCCTGGGATATCCAGATGTGAGCCATCGGAAGGATCTCCTTTCGACACTCGAGTCTTGCTGTGGGACCGAGACTTCCCGTGGGACTTGCGGTGAGTCCGGCTCTTTTTACTCCTTCCGCTGTGGTGGGCCGAGGACCCGGCTTTGCTCCGGTGAGCCTTCTCTTCTTCAAGTTTCTTCATCAGTGCCGTGTGCCTCATGACGTTCTCCACTGTCAAGTCCGGGTTGATGCGCCGTATGATCTCCATCTCCACCTCCCGGGGGATGGTGGTCGGCGTGTCCTCGTCCCGGAGGGGCCACTCCTCGGGAGGAAACTGGGCAGAGAAATTGGCCAGCTGTTTGGTCTTGTCTTTCTTAAAGCTCAGCCGGAATAACTTGAGGCCGAATTTTTTGGACTGCTTCTCACCGTCTTTCGGTTTTGAGAGCGTTTCTGTCTTGTAAGAGAAATTGAGAGTGCTTTTGCTTTTTTCAGTGGGCGGCACCTGGCAGAGCGGCGGCGGAGGGCAGTAGGGGTCCTTGCAGTCCTTGGCGGCTTTCCTCTGCAGAGTGGAGACATGCATGCTGTGCACGTCTTCTCGGCAGCAGTGGCAAGAGTCGCAGTGCTTTCTGGGTAATGTCCTTTCCCTGACACAGCCTGAGGCAGAGGGCGTTATGGTCCCGGGTTGTGGAGAGGTACACTGAGACCTGTCAGGTACCCTCTCATCCAAGTGGTACCACTTACTGTTAGTTCTTATGAGGGAAGGAGTGATGAAGTAAGTCTGTGGGGTCACAATGAAATAGCCATCTGGAGTCGGGTAGATTTTCCTCTCCCGGACCAGTGTGTTTAGGGTATGCCTTAGAATTTCTTGGCTTGGGGTTGGAACACCTAAGAGAGAAACAGAGATGCTTGTGAGAGAAGACGGGACAAGCTGTGCACCCCTGATTTTCAGAGTCCTATTAACATTGCCAGATTTGAAGTGTCACCCCATGGCATGCAAGCTGGCTTCAGGGGTGTTTGTTATGCGTAGCGTGGATCCCAGTTTTCTCCGATGACTCCTATGCAGGTTCCCACCTAGAGAGTGAAAAGGTGTTAAAACAGGGTTAGGACTGGACATGGAGGAGGGCGTTGGGACTCTTGGCCCAGTATGTGTGAGACCCTGTTTGGGTTCCATGCCTTACACCACATCAGAAAAGTTGCTGCCAGAGAGAGATGGAAGTCACACAGAGTTAGATCGTTACTGCGACAGAGCCTTTCTTGAACACCGAAAGAGAGACTATTTGGTAAAGGACAGGAAGATGAAAAGTTTCCTATGGAACTTAAATTTACATGACACAAATTCATGGAAAATAAGTTTTTCAATAAGATCACCAGAGAAGTGAGGTTAACACACCTACCTCAGTATCAGAGAATACTACACACATATTTGTGTGTGTATAATTACTTTATTATACACTCATTTTTTAAAGACTGTTTATTTAAAGTTAATTTTTATACATTTTATAAAAGGGTAACTAGATTGGACTAGTCCTTTTTTAAACTTCTTTTTACATTGAGGTTATAATATAATTACATCATCCTCCCTGTCCTTTCTGCCCCCCAAGCCCTTCTTGTAGACCAGGCTTTGCTCTTTTTCAAGTTCATGGCTTCTGTTTTCATTAATAGTTGTTATATGAATGTATGTAGATGCGTCTGCACACACTTCATATAAGCCACACTCGGTTTGTATAATGTTACTCTCACGTATGTTTTCAGGGCTGGCATTTGGTCTTGGGTAAACAGTCAGGTGCTCTTCCCTGGAAGACACAATCTCTCCCATTCTTGGCATTCCTTAGTGACCTGTAGCTGCACCCACAAAGTCTCACCCCTATGACCGCCTCAACATGAGTTGAACAAGGACAACGATGACGACAGACATTTCATGTCTTGGGGAGCCCCCATTTGTCAGTGCCAGGCACATCAAGGGTGGTGATGTTTACAGAGTTGATCTGAGTGGTATCATTCAGAAACAGGCCCGATCAAATCAATATAAATACTGCCAATACTCGACCCACAAAAATGGCATTTCCACGTGTCACGGTCAAAGCAGTACAATGTGGAAGATGAAAGCTTGGATTCCAAGGCCAGACTGTTGGATTGGAAGACCCACTCTATCTTTGCTAACGGAGTTATTGGTTGAATTGTTCATTCTTTGCCTACCTCATTCCCTACTGTAGATTAGATCTAGAATGTTCCCTAAAACTCATGTGTTGAAAGCTTGGCCCTTGGCTTATTGCTATTGGGAGTTGGTGGTACTTTTAGGAGGTGAAATTTAATGGGGGGTGGTCTTAGGTCAATGGAGCCCTTGAAAGGGGCTTCCTCTCTCTTTTGCTCCTGGGCTGAGATCTTACCACAGAAAGTAAACTCACCATAGACCTAAGAGTCATGGACCCATCTAACTACAGGCTGAAACCTTTACAACTATGAACCTAAATAAATATTTTCTTTTTACAAGTTTTAATTATAATAAGAAGTTAATGCCTCCTCACCAAATTCACACCTTAAAATGCTCACTCCCCCAGCTGTCCCCTCCCCTCCAACTGACCTTTGTTTGGAGCTAGGGTCTTTGCAGGAATAGCCAAGTTAAAATGGGGTCATTAGAGTGGGTCATAATCCATTAGGAGTAATGTCCTTCTGAAAAGAGGAAAATGACAGAGAGAGGCATGGACAGAAGATAATGTGAAAAGACACAGGTCAAAGATGGCCATCCACAAGTCAAGGAGAGATGCTTGGGACAGGGTCTTCCCTCACAGCCTTCAGAAGGGAACAGACAGCCCTGGCGGCATATTGACTTAGGATTTCAGGTTTCCGGAACTGTACACTACTACTACACGTTTGCTGATATCCCTGTACTGTTGCCACACTCTCAGTCAGTGGTATCATTCCGGCAGCTGGCAACGTAACCTCTGAGGCATCTAGTTTCATAGAGCTGATGGGAGTGTACACGAGTTTGGTGCATGCACAAGAGTGTGTGCCAGAGAGCAAGTACTCAACAAACACTAGCCATGGGCAGTCTCAACCTTGGGTTGGGAGCTACGGAAGCCCAGACTACCTTCAAGTGAACTAGAACAGCTGGGTGAGCCCAGAAGTCTGTGTGCCCTTGACCCTGCCAAACAATGAAAGTGGGGTCTAACACATTAGAGCTAGAGGTATTCTCGGGGGGAGGAAGCTTGTGAGTAGCATACAGCATGCACATCTTTGGAGGACATGCTTAGCAAGGTGCTGAGGCTCCCACACAGCATATAACTAAATGCAGTTAATTTTTTTAGTTGCATACTTTCATTTAATGCTCCACTTTTGATGAATGTACCCTGATTTTTTTTTAAACGAATGATTTGAAGACTGGTATGAGAAAGTTTGTTTTTAAATTCTGTGCTATTTGTACGAAATAGAAACTCGTTTTAATGGAATTCGTGATATTACTCCAAACCATGCAATTCTTGGGTGCCATCATCAAAGAAAAAATAGCTACACGTGAGGTAAGCAACTTGAAAGAGTTTTTTTTTTTATATCCTACTAAGAACCAGAGGCTACTGTCAAACTGTCAACAGCAGAAAATTCCATTCAGATTAAGACTCCCAAGATGAGCACACATGGCCACACTGTGCTCACAGATGACGAAGTTGTGGGCACAATGCTCAAATAACAAACCTACATATCTTATATGGTAAGTTCCATTTGTAAAACTCCACAGCTAGCAGGGAGTCATGGCTCGTGCCTGTAACCTCAGAACTCATCAGGAGGATTGAGATGAGTTCGGGGCCAGCCTGGGCTACACAGTAGTTTCTGATCAGGCTGGACTATATAAAGAAACCCTTTCTAAAATGAAAAAAAAAAACCTTATGATTGATTAATTCACCTTGACTGTTACTTAAGGAGGGTAAGTTATACTTCTTTTTATTTTCTCTTAAGTGTGTGTGTGTGTGTGTGTGTGTGTGTGTGTGTGTGTGTGTGTGTACACCAAATGTGTGTGGGTACCTGAACAGGGCTTGGATCCTCTGGGACTAGAGTACCAGGTGATTGTGAGCAGCCCAACTTGTGTGCTGAGGACCTAACTTGGGTCTTTGAGAAGAGCAATGAGCATGCTCAACCGCCAAGCCACCCCTCTGGCCCATGAATTGTATTAAGAGCAATCATTACTGCTGGTCTTGGAAAACTAATAGATTTATATAGAACCATGACCATAACACAATATATGCTAATTACCATTAAGAAAAATGTCTCTAGCTCTTCCCAAATGAAGGAACAAGAAAGAATCTGTGCTCTGCATACCTGTGATTCTCAGTTACACCTGACAAACAACATTTACTTTGAAAACAGAAACCACAAGCATGTTTCCCCTTGCCATCCAAACTATTTTCACATGTCTACCTTGGCTTTTCTGGTTCAACTAAAAGCTGTACATATTGATATTTAGGCTACCATTAAGTCCTAATATAGTAACTGATATTTCTAACCATCTATCTAACCCCGAGGCTTACCAGACACTTGGAGGGTTAACCTGACAAAGTGACGATCACTTGCATACTTCACCATGTCCAGATTCTACACCAGTAGTTCATCGTGAATCAGGATTTGCCGAGAACAAAGTTAAGCTCCATATTCTAATCGAGCCAAAACTCTACCTCTCCCTTTTCCATGCTGTTACATCTTCCAAAGCAAAGTCAGGAATTTAAAGATATATCATGACTACATGGTGCTTCTTGGAGCCACATTTTGCTTTAACCCTTCAAATCTGATTAATTCTCAGAATAGAGAGCACACATATGTGTGTTTTATGCTAAGCAGTTTGGATTAAGGGCACTTTTATTTTGCGATGGGACCTGTGTACATTGTTCAGACTAGTCTGGAACTGGTGGGCTCAAGCAATCTTTATCCATTACCTTCATTAGTACCTGGGACTACAGGCACACGATTTTATGCCCAGCATTAGACTAAAAGGTTTAATGGGCTTCATTATATATTTTTTTTTTATTTATGAAGAACACTGAATGGGTAGTCAGATAGAGAACACAGATCTGCAGCTAATACAGAAGCCAGCTCCAACTCTACATGCAGTCCCACAGTCCTCTATGTCCCTGAAGTCTGAAGTGAGCTGGTCTTCCTTGCAGAAAGATCCACTCTAACATGGATTAACCCAGTGTAACTGAGCACTCATCTTGGATGAATGGGTGAGCAGTTCTTTGGAAGTATGAAAAACAAGCATTACTTTAAGATCTTTAAAAATATTCCTAGGCTGAGGGTGTGGTTCTATGGTAAGAGACTTGTTTGGCATGCACAAGGGCCTGGATTCAGTCCCCGGCAGGGCCATGTCTCTCACACCACACCACACACACACACACACACACACACACACACACACACACACACACACACACACCACACACACCATACACAGCCCATACCATACACATACATACAGCCCATCACATTCAGGGTCCACAAGGCACACACACACAGTTCACCCACACAGCCCACACTACACACCCACACCACAGCCCACCACACAGTCTACAAGACACATACACACACCACAGCTCATCACACACACAGAGTCTACAAGATACACACATACACACACGCACACACACACACAGTTCACACATACACATACACACACACACACTGCTGCAGGCACACATGCACATGCAATTCTGTAATGGAAAATGGTACATAGAATTTGTTGAGCTGACTTTCAAAGTTCAACTTATATTAAAAAGATTCATGCTATCATTTGTTTCAGGGTACATTTTTACTAGAAGACTTTATCCTTTGGAATTTAGATGTTCAAAATCGTAAGAGGTCACATCTGAAATTATCCTTTTTATTTATAAAACACGCATCAAATATAAGAATTCAAATATTTTAATAATACTTTGTTAGACTTCAAAATCTCTTTTTCAAATAGTAAAGTACAAAAGGAAGTGAGTAGTCTTACCTTTAGATGGAAGAAGGTATTAAAACACCTTCCGGTACCGTCATTGAAAATGGACTTTTCAAGGAGAAGTGAAACAATTTTAAATTCTCAATGACATTTTGTTATGATATAGCTGATGGAAAGCAACAAATAAAAAGAGGAGAAGAAAGGAAAGAAGGAAGGGAAGGCAAGGAAATCTCCTTTTTATGAAATACTAGTTAAACGTTTGCAGCTACTGAGTCAGGCATAATGGTGTGCATCTGTAGAGGCAGGATGGTCCAAGAAAGTTCACGGCCAGGGTGGTCTACACAGTAAGACTGTGTCTCAAAAAAACAAAAGCAAAACTAAAGGGTGGGGGGGAGGAGCTGTTACTAAAGAAGAATTTAAATAATTATTTTCATACCCTGAACCAGGAGCTGCCCATGTTTTTCTGTGAAGAACCAGTTAGTAAATACTGTAGGCTCTGTGAGTCATGTGACCTACATGGCAACTCCTCCACTCTGCCACGAAGTCCAAGGAGACAACACTAATACAGAGAGGTCAGGAACAGCGTGCTCCAATAAAACTTTATTCACAAAGACAGGTGATCCTAGGCCTGTAGGGCATGCTTTGTAAAGCCCCACCCTTGTGGAAAGTCTGCACAGTGGTTTTGCAGATTTCTGGGTCTGACCAATTGTCATCAGCACCACACAGATGGAAAAGCTTCCTCAGTGCCTCTTTTCCATAAAAACTGGCAAAAGTGTCAGCGATTCATTCTTCTACAAGATCTTGTACCTTGGTGATACTGTTTGTTGCTCAGCAGCGATCAGCATTTTACGATTGCATACCAGCTCTGCATTCTTTCTTATTTTATCGTTATGGGAGGCACGGAACCACTCCTGAGAAAGTCACGTGGCTTCTCGTGGATAACTAACAATACGAAGACTTTAAAAGCAGCTGGACTGATGGATGTCTGAAGCAGTGGCCTAGGTATATTTCGGGGAGAAGGGCTGTCCTATACCGGAGGGTGGTGTTTGCCTAGATCATTGCCCCCTCTTACCTGGGGATTTGTGTCTCTTGCTACCAGTGGGAGAGTGTGCCTGGCAGCTAGAAAGGGGGACCAAACAGTGAGGAATGCTCGGGGACAATAAATGTTATTACATTTAGGATAATTTATAGGATGCAAGTGTAGGTTGATTCTAGTCTTTGAATAACATATAGAATATAAAAACACTGAAATTGAAAAAGGAGAGGGATAGCATGGTGGCGCACGCCTTTAATCCCAGCACTCGGAAAGCAGAGGCAGGTGGATCTCTGTGAGTTTGAGGCCAGCCCGGTCTATATGAGTTCCAGGACAGCCAGGTCTACACAGAAAAAAAAAAAAACAAAACAAAAAAAACCCTGTCTTGAAAAACTAAAAACAAAAAGAACCATAACCGAACAGGAAATGTAAGAAGAAAAGAAAAGAAAAAGGGGGGCGGGAGGAGGGCAAAGCACTGGGAAGGAAATGCATAGTTTCTTTGAGGCCAAAGGAAATGTATGGAGACAGAGGATGGTAGGTCATGTTAATAATCTTCATAGAGTTGGTTGGTTCTTCTATCCTTTCCTTGTGTGTGTGTGTGTGTGTGTGTGTGAGAGAGAGAGAGAGAGAGAGAGAGAGAGAGAGAGAGAGAGAGAGAGAGAGATGCGTGCACACGTGTGCATTCACACACACTTTCTACCTTGGTCTCAGGCCCAGTCAAGACTGCTTCATCAACACACTATTAGGGGATAAGATATGACCAAAGGGTCAAGGATTTTTTTTTCCCAAAGACATGCAGTCTAGGCAGAACAGGGCCACCTTTCTAAGGCCCAGCCTATTCCTGGGGCACCCTCAGACACAGGACCTACGTAAATGCTTATTGTTGCATATCTCTGTCTGTCTGGTTGCTTATCACCCAGTATTTTTGCAGCAAAAGCTGATTCCGCCAACAGCTTAGATGACTAAAGTCTCTTTGAAAGCTGAATGAACATCAAGTGATCACGTGTTTATTTTTAATGCGATTTCTATTGCAGTCTAGAAAGGGGCACAGTATTCAGCAAGCAGCAAACCGGCAGCCCAGTAAGGTGCACACTGCCCATCTATTCATACATGTTAAAATGAGCACACATAGAACCGTGCCTGTACCTAAGGAAATTTAGAGATTTCATGGCAAACAGGATTTTGAAAATTCTCTTGTAACATTAGACTTGGCCTCCCTGGCAGGGGGCACCACACCAGATGGGAATAATGAGGTACCTCCCTTGTCATGGAGCATGCATGTGTAGTATATACCACTCCAAACAACTCGGTCCACTGGAACCATTAACAACTGTCCACACTGCAGCCATAGCTACTGTCTTCATTTTGTAATATTTAAGAAAAAAAAAAGCAAAATTTTTTTCCTTTTAAAAATGAAATCTCAATTCATGAAGGAACATTTTATGAAGGCTCATCAGATCATACCGCAAACATGCAGGGCATATTCACTTTAGACATCATTTCTGTAGTTGAACTCTTGGGACTAAATGTTCCAGATGTTTCTGATGAACCCCAGGTTTATATAGTTAAGGAAGACTGAACTGCAATGGATGAGCAGCATCTTGGTCATTTTTGTCAATTTCTTATGATGTTGGCTCAATTTTTTTTCCTCCTAAGCGCCAAGTTAAAAAGTATGATATCAAAAATAAAAATAAATAAGAATAAAATAAAAAGTACTGTGCCTAAAGGAGTGACATTGTTATTGCTATTATTTTAAGTCATAGAAGGAAAGGTCTGGTCAGTTTGAGGGAAGATTTTTTTTTGCCTTCGTGCTCCTTTAAAGCCCTGGAGCCCACGCCCCACACCCACAGCCCACAGCCCTTTGGAAAGGGCGCCATTCTTCCTCATTACCTGGGAAACATGTCGTCAGGTGTTCCATCAACGCTTCTTGGGTGACAGGCTTTCTTGCAGAGTTCATCGCCGAGATGGCCAAGCAAAGGATTTCCCCGAGTGGAATAAACTGAGATTGACTGATGGGGGACATACTGATTGGTGACACATCACCTGTGGGGAGACAATTGTCAAGTGAGCGGGTTTATTAAGACACCCCACCATGCGTGTCTCTCTCTCTCTCTCTCTCTCTCTCTCTCTCTCTCTCTCTCTCTC